CAATCATGGGATTAACTCGATCTGTGCAGGTGTGGATCACAACTTGTCTGATTGAGGACATTCTGCACACACAGCTGAATGATGATAGTTACTGAAAAGCAACAAGACTTTATTTTCTGGTCTAAGTCTGTGAGTGACTGAGTGGTTCTGATCTCTGCTAATACAGAATTGCAGGATTATGAATATAGGTTCATTACTATGCAATGGACTGGCGACCTGTCCAATTCCCCCGCCTTTTGACCGTAAACTGCTGGAGACAGTCACAGAGCCTAATATGACCCTGATTGAATGAGCAGGTGAAGATGGAGGAATGTGCTATAGCTAAAGGAGCATTTACACCAAATACAAATACTGTATGGGTAGTGAGTTATTTACATGTTACACCAGGCTCACACTGCGATACAAGTATGCTGCAAAACATCACTAAACGATGCAACTGGAATAGCTCACTGACAGCATTAGCAGCAGAAACAGAGCTTATTTCTCCAGTGTGAGATTAATTTAGTTCAATAAAAAAAGAGAAAAATCACCGTCTGTCAAGGTTTCTTAAAAAGGTAGCAGGTACTTGTAAGTGTTATGTCCGTGACTTTCAGCAGAGAGACAGGCAGAGTGTTCAGCGAGCTATCTTAAAGCACAGAGCTAATGGTAAAGGAATCATTGTTTTATCCTTGATTCCTTCTGGAGATGCAGAGACCTCTTTCTTAACACCAAATGTCCCCTATCATATTAGCCTAAGAAACTTTCTCCTCACCAAAAGGGCTCAATTCCCTCATGTTAATGTCCATTTCAAAGAAAACAAGTACACTGTGATTTCCAGCACAACAATTTGTACTAAAAATTAAAATGTATTATTAGTCTTAATGAAACCTGTTATTTTTTAATGTTTATAGAAGTCATCCACATCTGCATAGCTGTTATTTTCATGTCAGGTGTAAAAAGATAAATATGATGAATGGTTTAATAAAACCAGATAGGTTTTGACATACAAGCCTAAACATGTTCTTTAATATATCAAAGTGATATTGTTTGACTCTCACCTGGGGGGTCGGGAAACTCCCTGCTGAAGAAAATAATGGATAAAGCCAACTTGTTTATTTTATTTCAACTTCTTTTATACAGTAAAGAGTAGGGTTTGAGGGCTTCCTCTTTGGAGGGCTTCCTTCTTATGTGTCTATTTCAATATTAACACTAGTATACAAAACAAAGGTATTTGCATTTGGGTTTGATATGACAGACAAACACAAACTACTAACACAGCGAACTGGAAAGAATAAAAAAAAAAACATGCATAAATTAAGTGGAAATGTATTCCAAGAAGATCAACTTTATGTCACAGAGACATCTCCTTTTACCATTCAAAGCAATTCTGAAATTGTAACAGTGGAAATTAGAAGGAGATTAGAAGGAGGTGCAGTCTAATTGTGTTCAAAACTGGCCCTGAGAGAAGACAATGCTTAAAACGATGTGTCTGATATGATCTTCAGCATTAAACCCACTTAATTTAACTCTTGGAAAAGATCCATCCATCTTCTCCAGCTTATTCCATCAGGGTCGCGGCAGTCTATATTGGAAAAGCGAGGTACACCCTGGACAGGTCGCTGACAACACAGAGATGAACAAGGCATACAACCAAGCACCGACACACTCCGAACTAGTAATCAAAATTTAGAGAAGCCAATTAACCTAAGAGTCATGATTTTGGACTGTGGGAGGAAGCCGGAGTACCCGGAGAGAACCCAGGCATGCAGAGTGAGAACATGAAAACTCCATGCAGAAAGACCCCTGGCAAGGAATCAAACCCAGGACTATTTTCCTACAAGGCAATGATGCTAGACATAAAAAGAAAACATTTTTTAATTTATGTGCAGAAGAATTAATCATTACATGCCATAATGTCATGGTAGAAACACAGTAAAGTAATGCATGCTGGAAAATTTTACCTATTTAATTTTAATTTACTCAACAACCCACTACCCCAACAAACCAAAATAATAATAATAAAAAAAGTGTTTCCACAGAGCAGACACAAGCATCATGGGCAGAAACCAGTATCCTTTACTTACAGTTGAACTGGGAAGACTAGATGGTCCAAGAGGAGCCTGTCAGTAAAGCTGTATCTGAGCTGCTGTGTGTGGTCTTTTTGTTTCACTTTTCATAATTCAAACTCAATGTCAAGCAGAAACATTCCTCTGCTATGTTGTCTGAAGAGCATCAGGCAGCATGTTAGTATGGAAAATAAATATGCCTTTCACTGATGCTCTCATTCCGTGGATCAGGTCCTGTGGATCTTCACTTCTGAGGACTCGGCTTCATTAAGGATGTGCACAAAGATCTCTGTTATAAGATTCAGAAGAATGTTTTGTATAACTCCATGGACCTCGGCTTTTACTTTATCCTGACGTCACAGTAAATCTTACTGTGAGATAAGAGCCGAAATCATTTAGAAAAACATGTACTTCAGCAAATGTTATGACAACTGTTTAATGTTTTCCTTATTTTTAAAACAGCAAAAAGAATGTTCTATCAGAAGACAGAAATTCTGAGTCTGAGCTTGTTTAGCTTCGATATTTACAAAAAGAGCTTTGACCTTTCTGACTGCAACCTCCCTCCATCAGTTCTGAATCTCTCGCTTCTTACATCAGTCATTCCTGTAATCACTGTTTTACACTCAACTTGGGTCTTCTCTACGAAGAGTGGCCCCATTAGCCTTAACTTCTTCCACATTTTCCTCCCTTCACTGCCTCTCCTCTTGTAAAATCTTTAAGCAGCAATTACGTTTTGTAACATAGCCCTCCGGCAGGTAATACAACAGAGAAAGAAAGAGGATACCCCAGGGTAAGATGCATAGAGAAAGTCCTTCTTTATAAGAGAAAGCTGGACTCACCAGTACTAAGATGAAAGAAGAAATTTATAGCATATAAATAAGTCAAGAGAAGAGACAGAGTGACTCATTATTAACATGTATGTTGAAAGGAAACAAACAGAAAATTAATCAGAAATAAAATGAAAAGAGAACCAGAATGTTTGACCCATTTAAGCTGGTGGCAAAACACTCAGTAACTCCAGGAGCTGACTAAGAGCTATTTATGTGATTAATGTAATGTTAGGATCTGTGACCTCTGAAAACGCTTGATGAGGAAATGACCACCCCGCTCAGGGTGATTTGTGCAAATCAGCTACCATGGCAACTAGTGCTGTGAGGGTATCAGCTGTCCTTTAATCAGCCTGCAGGAATCTTGTCAGGTAACACTGAGAAACATTTACCAGCACAAACCTTTCTGGTGCAGTAGAAATAAAAGTTAAGATTCAAACCTTTTTTTGCTCGGCTAGTTTAGAGCTTTTTTGATTTAACTCATTGTAAGTTGTCTTAGGAGAAACTGATTCAAAAAAATCAGTAAATATCTTTTTACAGCAAAGTAAATCAGTAGATATTTTATGCATATTTCTATATTTGTAGTCAGATTAATATAAAACATGACCACTTTTAAAACTGGTAATAAAGTGTTTTACAGAGCTAATAGTAAATTTGGGTATGCTGTGGGTCTGAGTCTACATTAGGTTGCTGTGCTGATTCATACAGTCATGCAAAAGTGTTCATATTCATATTATGAATTTAGATCCGGCCTTTGGCTAGGCCTTTTAATGTATGACTAAGCTTTGCTCTAAACCACAGCATCTCTATATAAGTGGATGTTCAGGATGGTTTTCCTGCTTTAGGCTAAACCTCCTCTGTCGTCTCAGGTCTTTTGCAGCCTCTAACAGGTTTTCCTCGAGGATGGTCCAGGATTTAGCTCCATTCATTCTTCCATTTAAGATGGGATGAAACATTTTTTTTGAAAGTGTTTTCCTGTCATTAATTACCATCAGTAATGTCGGCTCTGCTTTATGCCCATGCCAACATGGTGAATATACACAGTATATAAACCAGTCAGAATCCAGGTAACAAACAGGCCACTCAAAGAGCCCTCTCCCTACTTGAGAGCAATGCATTCCTACACATCTCAATATAATTGCAGATAACACTAAAAATGTGTAGATCAAAACCAAAACACGACCTCTTTGGCACCTGTCAGGCAACAGCTGTTCACCCAGTGTGACATCCCTGGTTGTGTGGCCGAAGCATTAGGTTGCTAAGACGATTGCTATGGTGTCTTCTCAGATTTCACTGAACAATCTGATAAAACGTGTTTGCTGTTTGTTAAAAATAACCATACAGTCCTTACTGTAAAAATAAATCAAACCTCCATTCCAATTATCGAATAATTTTTCATCCAATCTCTAACTTTGACCATCTTCTCTGTGCCACGGCATGATGCCTCCACCACCATGCTTCGCTATGGGGAGGACGTTTAGAGTGTAATATTAGCATTCAGTCTCCCATAGGTAAGCATGTGAACGAAACTACTCATTTTTGTCTCCTCTTAATGGAGCACCTTCTTTAAAATGTTTTCTTTGTGATGTTTCCCATCCGCAACATGTCAGAATTGTCTGGAGCAGCACTTATAGTTGCCCTGTTCAGTGAAGATCCATGCAGCTCCTCTGACACCTTTTCATGTTTACAACATTGGTTGCTTCTATGATTAATGCTTTCTGTTCCACCCTGTTAGTTGAGATTAACGTGTTTTTTTTCTATTCATGTTTGTCTTTATTTTCTGGAGAGTCAAGTTTTCATTTCTGTCTTCTATTTAGTCCATGGTTGGGTTGCAATAGGACAGCTGTTCTTTCTTGTTATTTAGTCCTCAGCAGAGATATGGTTAAACTTGAATTTGGATTAATTAACAATCACTACAAAATAATCTTGTAATTTCCATTCAGAATCAACTAAACATGAACAAGTTTCTGCTGCTATCAAAATCCTAACCGCCCCTTTTACTTCACACAGAAAGAAGCATTGGGGTTACAAGAAATGTGCTCCTCATTTTGGGAAACAAAACATTTACAAACAACACCTTTTATATGCACTCTGAGCCCCGCTTTACAGCATTATTTCCCCCAGTTACGCTGCTGGAAGGATGCCGAGGCTGAGTGTGTGGAGTGGCTTTCGTTATCAACTCTGAGACGTTAGGGTAAGTGGAGCAGGTCATGGTGAAGCTGAAGGCCTGAGGGGAACTCTGGATGTGGGCTGCATGTTCAGGAGCTTAAACAAGCAATTGTTCTTTAAAAGAGTCCTGATGTTCTACTGCTCTGCAGACATGGTTGCTCTTTTAAAATCAGCTGCTGTCTCACAGAAAGAGCTGATCGATGAAGGTTTCATCATTTCAGGAACATATTTTTCTGCTTTATCTTTTTAGATCTGCTTTGGGCTTTTCATTTTCACTTGCAGCCAAAAACTAAAAACCACACAGTTATTTTCTTGTGTTTTGAAGATGCCTTTTTAGTTTGCAGAACGCCTGAGGTATTTCTAGACTGTTTTTATGTCAACAATTCTGGTATCTTTGGTCCAGACTGTCAGTTTTGAGTCATTCTTCATGTTTTGGAATATATTTTTACAATTTGGATCCCTGTTCCATTTTCTTTACTATTAACTCTGTTTGCTCAGTTAAAGTTTAAGAACACCAAGAGGGTGAATTTCTCACCAGCATCAGTGAATGTGAAATCACCAGGATTGGAGCTGCTTCTTTGCAAACATTTACCTCCCGATCATGTTGGTAAATGATACAGATTTTAGATGTGAGGAGCATTTCAGAAGCTCAGGATAACTTTGAGACTACGGTACTTTAATTTATTCCCAACTATAAATATGTCATCATGAAACCAGTTTGTTTTATCGGAGCCGTACTTACCTGTATGTACCTGCCGTTTGACACCAAGACTCCTTTGTTTGCTTGATGTGAAAGCATGTTGACATATTAGCTTTTAGTTTTGAAAGTTTACGTGTAGCTTACAACTGTAAGGGAAGATGTACAAAGACAGAAAAACCTTTATGATCTCCGCATGTAAAAGGCTTTTAAAATGACCAAACTAGCCACGGGTTTATTGACTTCCCTGGTTCAGGCTGAGGAATTAAAAGGTCTCATCTAAGGGATCATTCATCTATCTGGTACAAGAAGCAATCAGTCACACAGGTTTAAGCAGCCAGACATGAACAATGGCGCACTGTCACCCTGATCAGACCCGGGTGCAAAATAGAAAGTCTGACATTTTTAGCCAGGGATAAACCCCAGCTCAGCATTCGGCAAACACACAGTCTCTCTTTCAGTTGCTGTCTCACGCACACATGAGTTTTCCATTCCACATGTACTCAAGAAACAACTCATTTAAAATTTTGTAAAAATTTGGATCCGATTTCACTATTTACCCCTTTCCTCAGGACAAAACCTTCATGTCTGCTACTGTACCTGAATAGTAAAAACGCAACAAATTTAAGCATTTATTTGAGTCTAATTTTAATTTTTCAAAGCAGGTCAGAAGTTTAATGGATTTGGATGAATTAACTACTTTTATTGCTTATGCTCTTTTGCCTAAGATGTCATTTCATTTATTTATGACAGTCCTCTTTGCCTGAAGTCCCTTTGTAAATAGAAGTCCCCCAAACTATGTGATGCATTTTAGTTAGAATCTTCATGCAATAGCAGGAAAGCCTTTTACTTAAGCTGTTCAGAAATCAAATGATGAGAGAAGTAGACAGCTGTAATGGAGAACAGACTTTAAGGTTTGGCAAATTATTCTTCCAGAGATGTAGGTAAGAAATGCAGATACTTTTTGAATAATTGCTGCGGTGCAAGACAATCCTGCATGCTTTTGAAACTCACAGGAAAGAATCCGCCAATTACATTCAGGTCTTACAGTACCTCATTCTTCTTACGCCTTCCTCTTCTTCACGTAACCTTGTGGGACAGCCTGCTTCTTGTAGCTTTTAGCCATTTTCACTTTTACAGTGAGAAACACCCAAAGAGCGTATTTGCAGCAAGAAGAATTGAGCATATCACTGAGAGGGCATGAGGGGCAACAACCAGATAGGATGATCTGGCCAGAACTAACAACCCAAAAAGATCACTATGCCTATGAGGACTAATCGAAATATAATGAGTCTGTCATGATTTTAGAATAGACTACAAAAGAATAGAAAATCTCTTTATAGTCCCAAAATGGGGAAATACTGGCACTGATATCTGATGTGATTACTTATTTCACACACCTGCTTAGCTCCGCCCAGTTCTCATTATCTGCTTATCTGATCTACCTGCATTATTTTTTATTTAACCAGCCTTCAGAGCAGTCATCAGTTCCAGATTATTTTTGAACCATTGGGGAGAAGTATTCAAGAGTACCTGTATTCTGATTACCTGATCCTGATATGCTCTGCCTCCAGACCTCTGAGTCTACCTATTCTCATCTGATCTGTTTGCCTGACCTCTCTCCTGACTCCTGACGGATCTCTGCCTATCTGTGTACTGTACCTGGATCTGTGACCTGACTCCATTCTGAATTCTCCCTATGCACCTTACTGTATCTCTGATCTCCTGGCTCTGACAACCACGCACATCACTGACATCAGCTTTGGCTTTCCCCTCTGGATTATCCTGCCTACCTTTGTCTGCTTGGTCCTGATCTGCCATTCCTCCGACCACCGATACATCAGCATCTGGGATTCTCTGTGTGGCGTTGGTAGCTGACTGGCTGGAACAAACCTCACCCTCTGGGCTCGGACCGAACTATAAGACCAGATTAGTGACTCACACGTTCGCTATGATCCTCTTTGAGATAGACATGGTCACTGACCTTGCTCACTTCGGTTCAGTTTTCAATAAACGTTTTGAGAAATCTGTTTGTCTGCCTTGAATACTGGATCCTATTTGTCTGAGCTGTCTCTGTAAAGCATGTGAAAGAAAGCAGGCAGTGAATCATCGATATATTGTGCTGGAAAGGCTAACAAAAAAGCTATTGTAATAATTTTCTATAAGATTGTACTAGTTAGGCGATTGGATCATCAGCAGTATTTGCATCCACTTAATTTAGCTAATTCAAACCAGAGAGAAGTGTTTATGTCAACCGTTATCATAAAAATTTAGCTTCTTTTCTAATGAAAAATAGTTTTCCTAAGGAAGTTCTGCTAGAAGCTGAAAGAACCTCACAGCATTATAATAACAAGGGGAGTGATGGCCTGGGTTGGTTGAGCCAAGCGTTTAAATAGACTACCTCCCTGAGTGAGCAAGACCCCTACGCAGAAGTCCACTGGTCCCTAAGGGGTGGGTGAAGTTGAATAATGATACTTATTGGATGACAAAAAATATTTTCTTATTATTATCATCATATCAACGACCCTGATACTGGCTGAAGAAGTGATCTAAGCCGTTCCTTCTGATTCAAGCTTGTCCTTCCACGGCTTTGGGCACATTTTATCTTCCATATTTATAGAGCGCTGATCCGATGCTGCTCTGCCTGGAAGCTGTAGTTCAGTCAGGAATTCAGAGTTGTGACAAGGTTTATGTTGGCCGAGCCTCCCGAAACCGGAGCTGAGCGTTGCAAAGCAGTCAAATAAATCATTTAGAGTCGAGGATGGTGCCTAGAAATACAAACAAACAGCTTTTAACCAAACAGCTCTTCCCCCTGTGGTGCTTTTTTCTTCCATTTGGCAACACTAAACAGCACATCCACAAGAGCCAGGGCTGAAAAACAGAGATAATGCCCACAAATGCTAAATACATGTCACATATTGTTTAAGTGAATTTATAGTAAAGGATTCAGTTGAAGATTACATTCAGTGCCAAGATCAAGACAGAGAATTTTAATCAGAGATGAAATCACTGATGTTGATAACCATGTTATCAACATCAGTGATTTTCAGTTGAAGGGAATAACGTCAGATCCGTTCACCAGGAAATCTCAGTATGTCAATCAGAGGATCTTTGTCAATGCTCTTGGAAAACAGGACTTGTTTCTTTTTAGAAAGCTCAAGATGATGGAGATGTTCCACTTTAAAAGTGAGGCAGTTTAGGAAAAATTCTGAACCTGTTGATTGGTTCTCACATTCGTTGTTGAGCTTTTTCAAATCCTTACCCAACCTTTTTTTTCTACTTCCTCATATTAAAATTGTTGCTTCTTTAACTGTATATCCCGCCCAATAACAGAACAAATCAAGTGAATCTCATCTCACCTGAACAATGGTCATAATGAGATGTCTGACTGTTGTATTTCTAACTCATACTGTAGGACATTGATTTGGTTTTATCAGCTTACCCAAGCACATATGTGAAAATCTTATCAAAATTATTTAAATGGAGCAGATTAACAGCTTCTAAAAATGTCAGAAGATGCTCTGTCCTTCTACCATGATGCTCAGAACCACAACAAAGCTGAAAAGAGACAGAAAGAAGCAGGTTGAAAATCATACAGCATAAAAGAATGTTGGTCTTTATCAACCCAAAGCGACATATTGTAAAAAGCATTGTATAAATGATTTCAGCTTTGGTTTTTTTATGTATTTGAAAGCGATCCAATGTTTTCATTGAGTGGAGGATTCAGAGCCTTTAAGTGCTCCAACTATTTAATCCAGAGGTCTCAATGTGAGACGACCTCTTTGCCCTGAAATGTTAATCTCTGAGTGAAAAAAGGTTTAGAGGTGAGAGTTCACCTGCCAGCTCTGTGCTGAACCAAAGCCAGGACTCTGAACCCTAAGACTCTCTGAAGAAGGCTTTTAACTTCAGTAAACCCCCAAAATCAGCCCTGGCTCTAAGACTTCAGCATCAACACGTCATATGACAACATTTAGTCAGCTCCCCGACACCCAACCTGTCAGTCCAGAAGGAAACCTTTGGCTTCAGTTTTTAGAACCTGAACCTCAGAGGCTATTTAACAATAAAAAAAAAGAGATCCCACACATGACGATAACAAAAAAGGATAAAAGAGTTTTGATATTACAGAGTGTTTTTTCCTTACACTACAAGCAAAGCAGGCTGCACATGGACTAGTTTCACTCACAGCATTTAGCTGTCAGATTGCTAAACCTGGTCTGAGTAGACCAACGGGCGGACGGAGCAGATGCATTGGGGATAGTGAGAAAAAAGAGTGAAAGAAAAAGGATTAAACAGAAAAGACAATCAGTAAGGAAGTGAAAGCAGTGCCAACAGGGACTCTGCATGATATGCTATGATTTCTAGGTGAGTTTTGTTGGATTTGATATAAACATACAGAAATTCACATTGTTTCAGGAGTAGCTTCTCTGGTTGATTACGTAAAGTTGAAATCAACATTATTGCATTTGATGTTAAGTTTGCGTCGTTTTTTCTACAGGGTCTGTGTGCAGATCTGAATAGAGCAGGACTGCTTACTAGGTTACATAATGAAGAAAGAGTAATCTAGGATGTAGTTATTAACACACCTCACACCGCAGAAATCAGCATGATCATCACTTGAACTCACCTTTACTGTACATGGCTTATTAAGATGAGGAACACTGGGATTGAGTCAGTTGTCTAACATTACCTAATTTCTTTCATTTGAAACCGGAGCAAAAATTATTCTTCATCTGCTTCTAAATCCTATTTTATCATGGTCTTGGTGCTGTTGGTTTTCTTTTCCATTTGCTCCTGTTCACCTGTCCCATTAGCCCAATGGCTGATTAACGCCAATCGTTTCCACCTGGTTCCTTGGCTATTTATTTTGTGTGCCTGTCTTCCATCAGCACCATATTATTCAAGCTGTTGTGAGAGTAACTTTAGCTTTCAAGTGAGTAGTTTGATCCTGACCCATTTTCTGCTTTGCATAATGATCTTTTTGCCTTGCCTTTGTCTTCTCTGTCTGTCTGTTTTTTTTGGGGGGGGGGTTTTGTACTGTTTTTCCTGGATTCTGCTGGTTACCGATCTTCACCTCAGCTTGGATTCCTCTCATGGACACTGTTGCTCCCTCATCGTCGGCTGGCGTTCAGCTCATCATCACTCGGGGTCCTGGGAGCAGCCGTGGCTGTAGAGGGGGGACATCGCTCTCCCAGATTCCTCCCTCCACTCCGGGATTGGAATCAACTTTGAATCAGGTCAGTGACTTTTCCTCCAAGTCATAATCAGCCTGACAATCCAGTCACTGACCTGTGTTTCCTATCTCAGCAGAGAACCTGCTTTGATGATGCCAAGCCGATTGCTGTTAACCTTTTTCTGAAAAAAGAAAGCCTGCTGAAAATAGTCCTGGTCTGTCTCAAGTTTCTGAGGTTATTAAATATTTATAATTATTGTTATGTTAAGGCATATATTTAAGCAAAAATGGTTAATCTAGCAGCAGTATGAGTGAGCCTTTTTAGTGCAGACCATTACATTCTGCTTCTGTTCTGCTTAGTAACTGTGATTCTTTTTTTTAACTTAAGTTTTTTATTTAAACAAACAAATACAGTACAAACCTTACATGGTATAATATGCAATATAAAATATATATAATATAAAAGCTTACAACACACGGTCAGAAAATTAAGGTAAAAATAAAAGGTGCTCCTGGATGATGAAGGGAAGAAAAAAAATGTAAGCATATGAAAAATATCCATCTAATACGTACACGTATCTTAACATACAAATATCAGGTACCCTTGAGTAACTGTTATTCTAATATTTTTTGTCTTTAAACTGTGATTACAGCCAATTATTTATCTTTGGGACTCTTCCCATTATTACCCAAGTTATAAAGTTGTGAAAGCCAGTTTCACAGGTCAACCAGGATCTATGCAGACTTAAGTAAAGGTGATCAAGCTCATGCATGGCTGCCCCAGAATCATGGAGTACTATAATGGTTCTAGTAGATATATGTGGACAAGGACAAAATGTTTACATTGCTGCAAAATACTGATCCTTTGCTTTGGATTTAGATAAGTACATCAGATAATGAAAATTTTGTAAAATGGTATTTCTGCTTTCCTGGTCAGTTTTTGTTGTAGCTTTAAATGTTTTTTTATTTAATCGCATTGCTTTGTTTTATCTCATTTAGATCAGTCACACACACATAGTATTTTCTGCATTTTGATACATAGAGCATTTTTTTTTAAGTTTATAATACAGTATGTCTATTTTTCCTGATTAAATCTAAATAAAATGATTGAAGAAAAAATGTAATTCTGTGACGGAGGTTAAACTACTGTTCAATCAGCTCACATTTCTCCTATTTTAAAAAATTGTTTTTTTTTCTTTAAAGCATTTTGTCTTGGAGAAAAAATTAATAATAAACTATGTTTTTTTCAGTATGATCAATTGCTTTAGTTCTTGGCTGACCCATACATAATCTCTTGTATTTGGACATGTTCTAATGACCGGTCTCCTGACAGGTCATTAGAACATGTCTTTTCATCTTGCCTTGGTATTTTTATATCGACCCATCTGCCACACTACTAAAACATGGCTGCGGACAAGCTAGTGTCTAGTACATGTTAGTGAATCATAAATCAATAGGAGAGTTGGTCTAAAAGTCCTGGCCTGATACAAAATCAGAAAATTTCAGGGAAGGAAAAGGATTTAAACAGTTCCTCAAGTGTTGCATTAAATACAGCCCAATACTCTGGATGAAGATGATGCTTATTCAGTAGTTTGGCTCCTGCTGTCACAGGAGAAACATGTAGAGTGAGAGAACATGTGGAGTTTCTTTTCACGTTGTTTCTTCTCCTTAACTCAAACCATTCCAGTCGGGCTGGCAGCTATCAGAGAACAGAGGACCTTAATCATTCTCTGTATAGTAGAAAACTCATACACACACACAGTTTAAAGTCTTTGCTGAAAACAGGAAGAGTGTCTTAAATTTCTGCTCTAGGGGTCACTGCAGAGATGCCTGGTTGTGTCTAGACTTGCAAAAATCTACTTTCTGAGCCTCTATAAAGCTATTCTTTCATGAAAATCACACACAATGTGGTTGATTAATGCGACTGAGTAATCCTCATGAGTTCTGCTGTCTGAGCCGCAGCCCCTCCCTGTTGTGTGAAAACAAGCAGAATAAGAAGATCTGTATCCAATCTAAAAAAAAAAAAAGAAATGCTCCAACTTAAATGAATTGCTTTAGTTGGTAACAGGTAATTAAATCAAGTTGAACCAAATTAATTTATCAAGTTTATACGTTGAAAACATAAATAAATGAAGTTAGGTAAACTTAATCCAATTACTTGATATTCAATAATTTTGTTGAATTTGGAGCTGCATTTTTTTAATAGTGTAAGATTGCACCTACCTTAACCCCTCTGTGCCTGCACTGTAAACAAATGCACACTCAAATGATGTGATGCAGAGCACGATGATTCTAGATCAAAGGCAAGAAGAAGTGGCGCGTTTCATCAGCTAATCTGCACAGGGAAGTAACCTTTTATTAACCAACAATTTTAGTTGTAAAAAATCGAATCTTTTGTTTTGCCTTAGCAAGATATGCTTTTCAGACTTTAGAAGTGGTGTGATACTGCAACACCATGAAATGGGCTGCTCCCAGATAGGGAGATACACAATCGCATTCAGGGCAAGTGGTTTGCTTCAGGGTCCATCATGGACACAGATTTTCCTTTGGAGGGCTTAAAAAAAAGAGGACACAGGACATTTAAGGGCAAAGCAAACCACCGTGACCTTTTTTTTTTTTTTTACCAAGCATTTCTCGCATTTCACAGCACTTCTCGAGACTCTGTTAACTAATCACTGACTGAAAAAACAAAAATTGTCCTGCTGCTTCAATCAAATATATATATATTTTTGTCTTTTTATTTATTTTCGTGATATTTTTGAGCTCCTTTGGTTTAAGGAAGGAGCTCATCCCTCCCTGCCACCCACTGGGGGGCCAAGAAAGTTAAAAAAAACCTATGTGGTTGTCAAAAAGAAAGGTCAAGTCCTTCTACAGGTGTGAGAAACTCTCAACTGTGATTAATAATGTAAATAAGTACTAATAATCTCAATATATTTGAAATTTTGAAGCTCTGTTTTTAGCTTGAGGGAAGAAAGTTTTTTATCACTCATCACAGGGAAGATTTTCCCTGTGATATTGACCATCATGGCCTAAGCACTCTCCTAGAAGAGGCGGATCGTTCTGTTCAGGCACGCTGATCTGGGAGTCCTTACAGCTTGTTGACACATTATCAGGACAGAACCTCCTTTTTTCGCTGTATGTGGTACAATAAATTTTAAGTGGGTGATCTTGTGGACTTTCTGTTCATTTTAAGTAGGAAGAAGCCTTAACTGTGAGTAGAAACTTATATTAGAACTGAGCATACTTGTGCATTTTTGCATAAATGAAAGGAATTTCTCCGAAAGTTAAATGGAAACATACAGCAGTAGTAAAAGAAATATAGAAACACCTTTGTTTTAATTTTTGTTGTTGTTGTTGATTATACTCTTTTGGTAAAATAACTTTACAACAAGGTTGACATATTGCAAATATGCATGGCATGGATCTTCTGACTGTTATGTTAGAGTGACTCAGTGACAGCCTTGGGGTGTCAAGCTCAGAACAGAAGGATCCAGTAAACAAAGCAAACAAACAGATTTCTAAGAAGGTTTAATGAAAACTGAGCCAGTGTAAGCGCCGTCAGCATCTAAGGCAGGGACCTCTGTGGGTGGAGACAACCGGTTAATCACTATGTCTTTCTGAAAGTGTTTGATAATGAACATGTGAGTTACTAACCTGGTCTTATACTTCAGTCTCAGCCCAGAGGGTGAGAATTGTTCCAGCTGGCAGGCTGCCAACGTGGTGCTGCGGTTGCTGCACAGAGAATCCCAGATGCTGATGTATTGGTGGTTGAAGGACAGACAGGAAATAAGAACCGAGCAGACAAAGGTCGGCAGGAAGATCCAGAGGATGAAGCCAAAGCCGGTGTCTGTGACATGCTCGGTTGTCAGAACCAGGAGGTCAGAGATCTGGTGAGGTACAGAGGGAGAATCCAGAACGAAGTCAGCTAACAGTTCCAGGTACGGGACACAAAACAGGCCGAGATCCGGCAGGAGTCACAGGTCAGGCAAACAGATCGGACAGGAATATAAAGGCTCAGAGGTCGAGAGGCAGAACAGGTCAGCATCAGGTAATCAGAATACAGGAATGCTAGAATACATTAAAATAAAATAATCTGGCACTGATGACTACAATAGAGACTAATGCAGGTAGATTTGGATAAGCGGGTGATGAGAACTTGGCAGGAGCTAAGCAGGTGTGTGAAATGAGTAATTAGACCAGTCATCTGCCAGGATCTTGACATGTGGAGGATCAGTCTCTGTGGTGGCTGACTTTAATAATTAACACCCTATAAGGCCAAAATGATTAGCCTGGGTGCCATTCCGAACTTAGTCCCGCCCACAAGGTTTGAGGTCGGGAAGTTCGGTCTGGCATTGCTCCATAGTAGCGCGAGTATTATCGCCCACTGTCAGGCAATCCAATCAAATTGTCAGGGCGGGCTTTATACGATGATGGACAGATGATCAACAGTAACTTAATCAAGCATGTGACCAAAGCGCGCATGGGTGACAACAACAATGGCTGCCGCCGGAGAGTTGAGGTGAGTAGATTCTGCTATTAGGTCTGTTCTAGAAGATATCGACAGCAAATTAATTTTAAAAGAGGAACAGAGAAACGCGATCAAGGCTCATCTTGTTATTCTAAAAATCTAGAAATCAAAGCGTGCAACTGCACGCATTGCTTAACATACGTCACGCACTCCGTTGCTCTTATTGGTTGTAGGTCTATCCAATTGAGTGCAGAGGCATTTTTTTCCTGGTTCGTTCAAAACACGCCCCATAATCACAGCTCTATGGAGCAGTATCAGACTCATATTCTGACTAGAATTGAGTAGGACTACGACAGGCTACAAAATGATGGCTAGAGTCAAAATATTAGCTGGCCTTTTCTTGGCACTGCATGCCAACAAGTCCTGAATGGAGGGAAAGTCAACCCTGATCATCCTCTCTCCAGTCGTTATTGCTTGGTACAGTTTGGACCTGTCCTGTTCTCTAGATGGATCAAACTACACAGTGTTAGATGAACACGGCATAGACTGAATGATGGAGGTATAGAAAATGAGCAGACGTTCCTGTGAAAAGTTGGACTTCTGTTGCTGCCACAGGAAGTACAATTTCTACATGTCTACATGTAAGGATCACCTCAGGCCAAGAGAAAGGGGGTTCTTGGGAACCAAAAGGGACTCTATTGGAGTCCAACATCACCTCTTCCATCTTGAGTAAGGGGCACCAGCTGATCCATCTACTGTTTGTATGTAAACCCATCACTGTTCTG